GATTCTTCTCATGATAATATCAAAACATGAAGATCATACTTAGAGAAGGGAGAGGAAAAGTATATAGGAGAATGTTTTAGAGTAAGATACTGGCATTTCCACATCAGCATATCAAATTCATGTGGTTTGTCTTGCTGGTCACCCTCAGTTTAACTACAGTATTTAACAGGAAATAGGTATATAATACTTTTGTCCAGTTAAATTTTAGGACACAGAACCAAAGAATAAATTCTGCCTCAGTGTATCTCTATAGCTGAAATGGAGAATGGTAAATGAAAAAGTCTCCCCTTTCGAGGATAGGTCCTAGCACATTTGACAAGAGTGCACATCTTCTGCACTGCAGTTGAGCAAATGCTTAACTACAGTAGGGTTTCTCATACTGTATATATCCAGCTTTGTTAAAGCAACAATAATTAAAACCAGTGCATTATGGACTGGAATTCGAGGTAAGAATAAAAAATAAACATGTTAAAAAGCTTTTAGCAGATGGAAGCCCATTTTGAATTTATAAGGATGCCCAACTGGTGTAAAGGGAGCAAAAATGATAAACTCAAGAGACCCAGATGTTGTTTTATAGCCAATCTAGTGAAGAGAAAATAAACCAGCTTACTTTGTAACTGGGAAAAAAAGATAAGTAGTGTAAAGTGCTGATATTATAGAACTCTTTATCAAATTATTTCTCTATAAAATAATAGATTATTTAGTAACCTAAACATATATAAATAGGTTGTTTAGTAACATAAGATATACTAGAAGACATAGAAATTTATTAGTTAGGCAAATTATAAGCCATTCAAATAAGCTCACTTTGAGGAATCTTATGAACTAGGAAAGGTCAAAAGGTTATACTCAAAACAAATTATGTATTCAAAGCCATACCAAGCGTTCATAGTGTTGCTTAACTGCATTTGTTTCTTTTATTGAAATCCACAAAGAAGGCCCACAAGCCACAGACTTTAAATCAGTTTGTCCAGAAAGAAATGGGGCAAACTGAAATGAGAAAAATGAACCAAAATTTAACTTACACATCAGCAATAACACCAAAGCTGTCTTGCTCTACTATTAGTTATGAGATAGATGGCTGCCATACCCGTGCATTATGTTGCAGCAATTCAGGCATCAGAAGCATTATAATAAGGAAATTAATTGATTATACAAAGAATCTGGAAATGAGTGTAGTCTGGATATTGAGAACCCATTTCCAAGGTTGCATAGGGTTGTAAATGACAAGGAATCAGAATCAGATCATTGACTAAGTTTCCACTTGCCTACTCCCCATTTTTCTTTTCCCCACCAATGCAAAAAACACAAGCCAACAAAAAGACACAGTCACTCTATAACGCTATTCACCTTTGGTAGGATGGAGATTCTGAAATTTTACCCTAAGATTCCCTCTGCCTTATAGCAACACCCTCATCTTCCTTAATTCGAACAACTCTTCTTCAACCATTAAGAACTAAACCATTTATTTTAGTACAGACATTATATCTGATAGGCTATTCTCTGCCCCCTCCCTTCCCCTGGTTGTGCTATTTAGTGGCATTCCACAATCTTCCTTCACAGAGCTATTACATTATATGGAAATTAAATTTTGATGTCAGTTTTTAGAAGTAGCCTGGAAACCTCATGAGGTTAAGGGAGTATGCCTTACCACCTTGATACCCCTACCAACCAGTACTTGGTATATTATAGGCCTTTCATAAATATTTTTCAGACTAAATATTCAGGATAGTCTTTTGTGAAACAAAAACTTAACCCCATATTGATGAAATACAAGTCTTAGAAAGACATTAGGGTTAATATGAATTTGTAATCATCTGGCTGAAAACACTTTGGTAGTTGACATTGGAGGCAATATTCTGAGATTTATATTTAGCACCAACACGTAAGCTTATATAACCAACACGAAAGTTATATAATCTATCTTAGCCCTAGGTATTTCATCCATATGATAATGATATTGATAAACTTAGTTTACTATATTCCTCAAAATATAATAATTAAAATGAGATTACCTGACTCATTGTAAACTCCTATTAAATAATGGCTGCTATTGTTAATATTGTCATTGTTGTTAAGAATGGTAGCCAATATTCTATGGGATGTAGTTAGAAATCTACAGACAGTACCAGGAGAACATTCAAAATGGCAAATACAATCATTTTAACATGCTTAATCAACATAAATAGAAATATAATGTGTCATACCAATTTTTTCTTTCAGAGTACTCTTGCCACCATAAATTGACCAGAACACATTCAGCCTCTTTAATGACTTTACTTAGATGTTCTGCAAATTTTGAAAAATTTTAAAATAATATATATGCTATTCTCAATATTTAAAATAGACTGTACACTGGACGTGGTGGATCACGACTGTAACATTAGTACTTTGGGAAGCCTAGGAGGGAGGATTGTTTGAAGCCAGGAGTTCAAGACCAGACTAAGCAAGATCAAGACCCCATCTCTACAAAAAAAAAAAAAAGAAAAAAAATAGAAAAATTAACCAGGTGTGGTGGTGTGTGCCTGTAGTCCCAGACACCCAGGAGGCTGAGGCAGGAGGATCACTTGAGCCCAGGAGTTTGAAGTTGCTGCGAGCTGTGATGATGCTACTGCACTATACCCCAGGCAGCAAAGACCCCAACGTAGAATAAATAAATAATAGACTATAAAGCTGTAAACATTGTCTATTCAAAATTTAGAGAAATAAAATGAAAGGTATGTTAGAATAAATTTGCTTATATGAGTTTTTATGGCAAGCAAGAAAGATTTCACTGGCTATAGGATGATTGTTTTATTTTTATTTATATTTTTAATTTTTTAATTTTTTTTTTTAGCTGGTTGAATTTAGCAGCATGGGGTTGTTTACCTTCATTAGTGACAGTAATGTTAATAAGTTCTGCTAACTCACTACCATCGGACCAGCCAGATGATTGTTTGGGATTACCATTTATTTTAATAAAAAATTTTTACAATTAATAATGTACTTATTGTATAAGGAATCCACTCGGTCTGTGTATGAATATTATCTAATTTATAACTTATGGGGATATTTTCAGTAGCATTAAAGGATATTTTTTAATTTAATGCACACACTGCTTTCCCTCCCTTTATGACACATACATAGATTAATCAATTTTCTTTTATTAAAATATTAACAGTGAGAATTTAAAAATAAAAAAGTGGCTTTGAAAACATCCTAGGTAAATTGCCCGCCTCCATAATATGATTTGCTTTTTTAACACAGAATTGGTTTTGGTAAGATTGCTATAATTCCAAGTGACTTGATGGGTACTATATGACCACATTTCAAATATATTATGGAATTGAAGTATCTGTCAGTTGGTTTGAAACATATTGTAAAATCGCAATTTTGTGCTTAACTGTAAATTTATTTTATTTGTATTAATCATAATTGCATATCCCTGTCTATCTAGCCTTAGAAGACATAAACTCAATGAATTTATACCCTGTTTCATTCACAAATGAATTGTGCTCCTGAATTTTAACATGCTATTCCTAAAACTATTAGCTGTGTATCTGCTTTATGGGATGTTTCTACATAAGCTTGCTGTTCATCAATTTGGTGTCCATACATTTCTTTGAAAGCTATATTATAATTAGAGTTTAGGTTAATACTATTCAGTAACCATAAAACAGACATAAAATAATTATAACTCATTTAGTGAAATTAGAAAAGGAGCAATTATTAGACTCCCATTGTGAAGCTTTGCTGTGAGGGATAGATAATCTATCTGCAAGATGTACTTTAAGAACACCATTTTCAAAGAAATAAACTAGATAGATTACTGCTTTGTTTTTGTGCACTTGAGGCAGGAGGGGCGGAACTGAAAACTTGTGTATGTGAGTTTCCTGAACTTTCCTGAATACTTATAGGCAAACTGAAAAAAATAAAAAAATCTAAGAAAAATAGAGGATTAAAAGAGATTTTTGCTCATTGTAATGAAGCTGAAAAATTATATTTCTGAGAGTTTGTAAATTTGTCACACAAATTGATTTGTGTTTGTAAAGTGTATTTTCCATAGATTTGCAAAAAAGATTACATTTTAATGCAATCTGAAAATCTTAATGATCAGTCTTTTTTTTCCTGTGGGCTCCAGAGTGATTGATTTGCTTGAGTGCCAAGGGAAGTATATTGGGCTTTATAGTTTGCCTTATTATTCAATCATCCACCCCTGACAAGTTATGTTCATCCATTCGGAGATAAATGAGGAGAGATAATGTACAACTCTGAAATTTAGAGAAAGTAACAGATTTTTCTGTGTTCCTTTTTATAATATCTTGTTTCATCTAAAAAGTTCAACTGTGATATGAGGCCTTCAATGTCCAAAGGGGAAAAAAAAAAAGCTATTTATTTATGTTTTATACAAAATTAATAAAACAGATCCAGTACATCTGTACATTTAATTTCCTTCAACTATTGCTGGAAAGACTGTTTGATAACAAGAATTTATAATTCTAGGCTGGATGAGATGGCACATTCTTTTGAAATACAACAAAAGGACCTGGTGATGTATCTATACCAATTCCATGTGGCGCTTAGGAAAAATAAAATTTCTTTGCATTAGTTTTAAGAGAGACAAGAAGTAGATCCACTCTTTGCACTCTTTCTTCCTCATTATCCTTAACAATATGTTAATATTTGGCTTATGCTATAATGCTGTCAAATCTATAGTATAATCCTAATATAACAGAAAACAAATTTTAACACATATCACAAGAAAGAAAGTAAAACAAAACAAAGAAAGTAAACAAAACAAAACAATGGGGGGAACTATTTTTAAAAAGTTGAGTTCATCACAAATTTTATTTGTATAATATATAACTTCTGTTTTGATTCTTGCTCAATGAAAGCAAAGATACATCCAGAGAATTACCTCTGACAGCTATGAACAAAAAGAAAGAAAGAAAGAAAAAAGGTTTTCTTTTGAGAGTTACTTTTCTGTCATTTAAGTCGTCTACATGTTTCTTTGCTTTTACCTTTCTTGCTTGCTTTCTGACCACCAGGGATCCAAAGTTAGCACAGGGTCACTGGGGTTCTGTCCAGCTCCAGACAGTTGTTGCTATAGTCAGGGTTTTATGATGACAGAATGAGATTTTCAGAATGCACTGGTGAGTTCTGTGACAATTGCTAAGCTTGTCATTTAGAGCAAATAAAAGGCAAGCCATTGATTATTTTCAACACCCACTACCTTGCCTGTGAGTGCATGAAATGCTTTTGTATTTCCCATCCAAAAATAACAGTTAGAGAGCACCCCCAACCCCAAATAGTCCACATTATTCATAGTCCTGAGAAAGACTTCCAGGCATGATAATTTACATTGAGCCAAAAGGAATTAAGACTTTTAAGATGAGTTCAGTCTTGCTAGACAAGTAAGGGGAATTAATTGAATGAAAATGCAAAATTAAAAGCAAATGATGAATTTGGCTAATTTCTTCCCCTTCCAATGTTCCAGCATATTCCTCTGATCATTCCCTAGGAACACTGCTTGAACTAACAGCTATGAATTATAGGTTTCCAGTAAAGTATAGAGGTTTTTTTTCTTTTTAAGAAAAAGCAATTGATGAACTGTTGTCTCAAAGATTTAGAGGATTCATTCCAGTTTTTAATAATCCCATGTGGCTTTAAAATATTTTAATATTTTCTCTCAACATGTTTCCCACTATACAGCTGTGAAATTAGTAGGGCAATTGACATAGGAGAAACAGTGTTCTGATTTTTCTGCATCACAAGAATTTTTAGGGCTCAGGTAAGAAAGTAATAGCAAAAAGAATTACATTATTAGCTGATGGTTACGGTTTGTTAATTTAATCAGATTAATTATTTATTTAAAATAACCAACTTGTCTAATTTCTTTGATTTTAAAAATTAAAATCATGGTCTACTTATTTATCTAACCATCTCTCTATTTTTAAAATTTCAAGTCAATTTACTCAAAAATTATCCAACAGGCTAAGTGTATAAAACACAACATAGATTAAGAAAATAACTCATTTAGGGCAAACTCTTTTGTTTGCCATGGAAACTTTCCCTGCAACATTGCTCTTAGAAAAATAAGATAAATGATATCTTAGTATTGATAAAAGTTTATTGTCATGTACAAAGGAGTTAAAAGAAGAGACTATATTGATAATCTGAATACATTTATTAATAACTTCAAATAAATCAATACCAAAATTTTTAATATCTAAATTATTCACAATATTTCATATAAATGTTGGTGTCATTAACTAAAAACATCAAGATATTAAAAAAATCAGACTGTAATAAGGAAAAAAGTTTCATGAAATACCTAAAAGATGACTCTTATTATTGGTGCTGGCTTTCTTGTGATATGGACTCTCAGCATATCATTCTACTGATACTAACAAAGAAGAAAAGGTTAAGTCACTTTTTTCTGAAGGTGAAAAAAAAATTTGAAGAGTGCTATAGTTTGACAAAGTGATCTTGAAAATTAATATAAGCTGACTTTTCCAAATTTTTAGGTAACTTAAATCTTTCTAATTTGGAGAAAATTATAAATATTAATATATTATAGGAAAAATTAGAATTCAAAGATTTTCAATATGAGACTATAATGTTTTTTATACTGCTTTGATTTTACCTTCAAATATCATGCCTTTTTCTTAAATAACATATAATAACAAATTATTTTAAAATATTTTACAAATTTATATGTAATATTTGTATGATTTATAATGTGTATAATTTATTTATAATATAGCTAGCTTTTAGGTACTTAGATATTGTTTTAAAATATTTATGAAATTTATAAAGAAAAATAATGTGTATATGTAACATATATTTCCAATGCACATAGAATAAAAAATAGCACCTTAATATATTCCCATCATATTTTGAAATGTTGATGTTTGACTTAGGCAAAATCTGAAATATTTTAGCATAAAATAATATTAGTTTTCATTGTGAATATGTGAGAACTGTGCTCTGTATATTTTAACTTGAGTCCTAACATGATAAAATAAGCATGACTTTTTCCTCTCTCTCTTCTATTTCCAGACCACTTCAGAGCCCTGGGGTGCCCTTTAGCCTCAACCTTGTCTTTTGAAAAGACTTTTTGTTAATTTATTTTATTTTCATAATTTTGGTTATTTTTACTTTCCGTTGTACTTCAGTAAAATATTTTGAGATTTTTCGAGGTGAAATACAAAGCAAAATCATGAGAAATATGCAACAGTAAGCAGTAAGAGTCGGCATGATGCTTAAGTACCAAGACTTGGATGTTCTTTCAGATCATTAGCAATAATATTGCTCGACTAAAAATCTAAATCTATGCTATTCTTGAACCCAAAGAACATGCCTATCCTTTTGGTATTCTTGAGAGTTTGCCTTCTCCAAAAAAGAGTGTTATTTTTTAGATTACAAGAGTGAACTATGAGATGAAAGCCAAAACTAATGCAGATATAACTTTAACCGTGAGATACAAACACATTTCCAATTGCATGGAAATTTATAATTAATTAGCAGTTTAGAAAGCCATATTTTTCTATCAAAATAAACTTCAATCATAAGATGGATAACTGACACAGCAATATAAAATTTGCTGAGCTAATTTACATCTAAAACTACAAGTTTATTCTGGTTAGAAGTAAAATAAAAGCACAGAAACGTGCTAGAAAAAGATTTCTCATACACTACCGAATAATATGAATGTATGACAAAATGTAGTTAAATTTGCACATTTGAGGTGACACAATGAATTACTTCTTCAGAGTCCATTATAACATGAATTCTTTGAATTTATGTCAGATCCCAAGAAACTTAAAAGAAAGAAGAGAATGGAGTGATAGTGAGAGTGAAGGAGGAATATAGGAAGAGAGAAAAGAAAAAAAGGAAAATTGATCCATGAAAGAAAGAGTTGAAAGCTAAATAAAATCAAGTATTGCTGTAATTTTGATATAATATATGACCAGTTGATCAGGGCAGATGCTTTTATTACATCAAACTCAGAACCTTAAAACCTATCTTCGTAGGGTGATAATTCTGAAAATATTTAACTAGCATTCCTTCTCCAAGTCAAATTTGTGCACTTTGTTTACCTTATCATAGTCTTTATAGAACCTCTCTTAATTTTTATAGCAGTAAATTAGCACAGACATCTGTAACAGAAGGCGGCTCTTCAACAAAATGAAGACATCTGTCTTTTTGAAGAGGGATGGAGAGCCTACCAGAGGAATGTCACAACAAGAAAGATTCTTTTGTGGAGGCAGGCAGAGCAAGAGGTTGGAGTGATTCTGACTTCAGTCTGCTCCACGGGAAGCCAAGGTGGTTATTGCTGTGCCGGCACTATTATGAGAAAGACAGAAAAATTAGTTGGGATGACACACATACACAAGAAATATCCAAGATAGAAGAAGTGCTAAGGAAAATATTTTGGTATGGAGCTAGAAATGACTTCACGTCTGGAAACTACTATGAACTCAGAGTTTAGACAAAAGCTAGGTATTCACTGTGCTGATCTACTCATGATAACACATTATATCAGAAACAAGGGGCTGAGTTGTGGTTACAACAATACAGTAAAATAAGCATTCATTGACTATGTCCAAAGACATTTTGTTTAAGTGATATAATTCCTCATGATCAAATGCAATTCATTTGTAAGAACTAGATTTTCATGAAAAGTTGTCACAGTGGATACTGCCTTATAGAGAATATCAGAATTCAAGAGTTTTAAAGGAAAAAAGCACATGAAAATCATTTAGTTCATAACTTAAACATGAGAAAATCAAGAGCAAGTTATCAAACTTTCCTATTCAGAAATCTCTTAATCACTGGTATAAATTGATAGATAAGATATGGATATAGATATGTCAGTTAGATAAAATGCAAATAGATTATATACTCTGATTACTGTAACATTTTCTCTATATGTCTTATGATACAATTTTATGATTATTGTAACTTTCTCTATTTACATACACACATATATATACACACACACGCATTTTTGTATATATTTGGGATTAATTATAAGTTTCTCTTTTGGGGGAATGGTGTTAATTCTTTAAAGAAAAGTTTAGAATTATGCTATAATCCACCTTTCTTTTAAATTAAATATTTAATCTGATATATTTCCCCCAATTTTTTCTATTCATGAATTCTGAATGCTAAAATGGCACTCCTTTGGAATAACTTAATAACTCATTCTTTTTAAATATAAGTTTTATTAGAATGGATCAGAAGATGGATGTCTTAGAAATCATGGGTGTCACTTGTTTTCCATTATCCAAACAAATTTTATCTATCCATATCTGTATCTGTCTATATATATATATATATATAATTTTTCATAGCCCCAAATCTATAATCATTCCAAATTAAAAATAATTTATGATGTTTTATTTAAACATGATTTGATATATTTGAAGCACTGGATAACACTACTGTGTCCAGAAAATACAGTTCAGCGTACTAGAGAAAGGTGAATTCCTATTTCTAACATTATTCACATTTCTCTTGACTCTATCTGTGATGTTTGGCCTAATCTATATCTCTTACCTTTGCCTATTAGCATCAATAGCACTTCTTTTTATTAGTCTCTTGATACTCCCTGATGTTTTATGCATAATAATGCTTAAATTTAATTGAGCCGTAAGTTTCAGTTTAATTATGAGGCTGTGTGATACCTTCAGCACTTTTTTCTTCTATGATCACTGTAACATTTTCTCTATAATCCCTTTAAAATTCTTCATCTGTTAAATCCCTAGTAGATAAGCCATTTTTAAAAGAAAAACTAATTAGAATATTTCAATTATCCTAATGTATTGTTTGTATTTTAGCAAAACCTTTCTTTAAATACACCTTGAGGAATAGCCTAACACTGGTCTTTCATGGTCTAGTTCTTGCTAGAAAGTCTTTGACTTGAAAATCAAAGGATATAAATTTAATCATAAAAAATATCATGTTTCCATTTTGCATATTTTTTTACTCTAGTTTAGTTGTGTTCTTTAAATTATGCTTACTATTTTCACACTTGGGATTTCAGTATGAGAGCTAATCTAATGACTTAGAGGTAGGGGATTTTAAATTGTGATA